ATAGCATACATTATACGAAGTTATTATTATTGTCATTTTAATTTATTATTATTATTTTAATAATTATTAATTATTTTTATAATTATAGTATTTTTTATTTTATTAATATTTTTTATTTTTAATCACTATTTATTATTTATTTTTTATTTATTTTAATTCATTTTTATTTATTTTTATTTATTCTAATTTTTTTTTATTTACATAATATATCTAAAATTTATTTTATAAATAGATAGAACTGAGAGATTATTTAATAAATTTGAATATGTATGTTAACGATAATGAGCATCTATTTGATCAAGCAGAAAAATAATAATAATAATAATAATTATAATAATAATAATAACAATAATAATAATTATAAGCATAAGAATGATTATTTTTTTTTGAATACATTAATATTTTTTTTTAAATTTATTTATTTTTTAATTTAATTTTTAATTTTCTTTATTCATAAGAAAATTGAGTTTTTTTTTTTTTAAATTAAATAAAAATTTAATTTTATAATATATAAAATTACATATAATTATTTTTAAATAATTTTTTTATAAAAACTATTTTTATTATTATTATTTATTTACATTTGTAATAAATTTTAAAAAAATTTAAATGTATAAAGATTATTTTTAAAAATATTAAGAAAATATATTTTTATTTATTTAAATAATAATTTTTATTAAATATTTTAATTTTTATTAAATATATTACAAAAATATTTAAACATTTTCTTTATATAAAAACATAAATTTTATTAAAGACTTTTTAAAAATATTAATTAAATAATTTTATATTATTATTACTTCACTATATAAAGCTTAATTGCCCTTATTTTTTATATTCATCTATTTCTTCTTAACTTAATAACTTTTCAACTTTACCTTCTTTCCATAGGCAAATTTTTTTATCTCCATTTTTTAAAGTACATATTCCTAAACCATTTTGTTTCCCATTTTTCCAATTTCCCACATAAATTCTTCCATCTCCCCACTCAAACGTTCCTATTCCTTCTTTTTTATCACTTATATAATTTCCTTTATAGATTTTTCCATCTGGCCATTTAACAATTCCATACCCGTGCATTTTATTATTTTACCAATCCCCTTCATAAACTCTTCCATCACTCCATTTATATACACCTTTTCCTTAAATATATCCATTCTAAAACACTCCTTCAAACTAGCAATTATCTGAAAACTTTAAAATCCCTTTTCCATCTCTTTCCCCAAATTTATATTCTCCTATATACTAAGTTCCATCAATCCAAATTTCGGACCCAAATCCATGCTATAAAAAAAAATTTATATATATAAAAACGGTTATATATATATGTATTTTTTTACAAAATAAATAAATAATTAACTTGCTTATTATCTACCCAATCCCCCTCATATTTGGTACAATTTTTATATATATATACACCTTTTCCATTTGCCATATCGTTTTTCCATTACCCATCATAAACATCACCATTTGAATGACTTAAAATTCCTTTTCCATTACTTTTATCTTCTTTCCAATCTCCTTCATATTTAGACCCATTTGGCCAAATTTAAACACCAAATCCGTCTCTCATTCCTAAATACCATTCTCCTTCATAAATAATTCCATTATCTAAAGTTATTTAATCGAGTTTTTTATGAGTCTATGTATTATTTATGCTATTTATAGCTTTTTATTTTGATTCATAATTATTATATAAATCTGTATTGTGTGAAAGCAATGTAGAACTTACTTTCATTATTTCGTCCTATAATTCTTTACTTGGAGATGCATATTACATCTTTTAAGATGGCTTTTGAGAATTTTATGTATTTTATTCATTGTTTTCACAATCACTTGTCTATATTTATATTTTTAATTCACTTATTTTTGATTTTACACAACATTCAGAACCAACGCAATTTCCCATATATATATATATATATATATATATTTTTCTTTCGAAATAGTTATATATTTATAAGATATAACGATTTTATTTTTTTTAATTGATATCATTATAAATGGATAATTTAAATTATTAATTTTTTTTTTTATTAGTATAGATAAATGAAATATTTGATAAAAAATAAAATATAGAAAATTCTAGTACTCTTAGTTTTTAATATAATTCATTTTTTAACAACTTCCACAAAAATCTTATCTTGAAGCATTTTAAATTTAATTTGCTTATGTTATTTTTCCCAGTCAGTTGTTTTAATAACCACCAAAAACGCAATCGAGGCCATCAAATTGGAAATAATCCATCCACTCCAAATTCCCATCTCCTTACTATTTTCCCACGAACTATAACTAATAGTAGTTCCAACAAAGTAACAAAACAAATAAATATAGGAAATAATAGTCGCCTTATTTAAAGCTTTAATAAAAGAACATAAAGTAATCTAAATACCATCACAAAGCAGTACTTTTTAATAAATGAAAAGCGAACGAACCATATTCATTTAGATTTCCGTATTTGAATTTAAAAAAGCACTCCAAGACTTCGCATTTTATTAAAGGCAAATTAACAAAATCACAATTAAGATAAAAATACTAATAAAAGCATGAAAAGCTCTTCTTTTAGCTTTATTTATGTGCCCTCTCCTTATTGAATTTCCTATATAATTCTAAATTATATACTAGAACCCTAAAAAGAAACTTATATGTCCTAACGCAGAATTATTAAGGGAAATATGGGTCACAGTGATTGCCCTTTAATCAGTGTAAACACTAATAAAAGTCAAAATTAATAAAGCAGTTTCTTCTAAATAAGAAGTTGCTCCATTTTTTAAGGCCCTTTGCAAATTTCTAATTACATTATCAAAAGCTGTCTTGTCCCATTCAATCCATGTCTTAGGGGTTGGAGATTTAAACGTTATAAAGAAATAAAGGCACATTGAAAGAATAAAATCACTCATATTTTTAGCCCAAGCGGCCCCCAAAACACCCATATCACGTTTATTTATAAGATTATCAGCCAAAAAATAATGAATAAATGATTAAGCTAATTACAAGCCTATTTAAGGATAAACCACATTTTACGATTATAAATAATTGTTTGTAGTATCATAATATGAAGATGCGAAAAAAGACCCTAAGCATACCCATACATAATTCCCAGCATCATATGCCAATTATTATTCGATATTAATATAGCCTAATATATGTGAGGAAAAACATAGTAAAGGTGCTAAAATTACACATAAGAAACTTTTTTAAAAAAAAAAATTAAATTTTTTTTTTTTTTTTTATTTTGAAAAAAAATAAAAAAAAATACCCTGTAAATAATAAACCTCTTTAATAAAATATACCTACTAACTCGTAGTTTTTAGCACTATATGCAATATTACAATTATTTTATAATGTAATATTTAAATGTTTTATTACTGAATAACCAAATATTCTTCCGTAAGCGTCCCCTAAACCAAATGCTGCGATTTCATGTAAATTGCCTTTTTGGCCTAATAAATAAATGTTTATTAATGACATTGTTATTAGATTTAGTTCATAACAAAGTACTCTTGGGATGGATTTTATTAATAACTCTTTAAATGTAATTAAAAAAGAAGGGAAGTTAAAATAACTCTCAGATGGATTACTATCTTTGTTTTTATCAAAATAAGTCCTTTAATAATTTTCTTATTCGAAATCCTATTGAGCTATTTTCATATCTTTTTATATTTACAAACAGGAAATTTTTATTTAATTTTTTTTTTTTTTAAAAAAAAAAAATATTTATTTAATTATAATTAAGAATTTTTATAATAATTTATTTAATTTTCTAAAAAAAATAAAATATTTTTTATATATTTATTTTTCATAATAAAGCAATTTAAAACAAAAAATATACAATATATAAATATAAAAATACATATAAATTAAATTTAATATAAATTGTTTTATCTACATAATTTTTAAATAGTTTAATATAAATACTTTGCCAAATATCATTGTTCTATTAAGTTATTTATTTTTTTAACATTTTTAGGGAATAAAATCATCGTATTTTTATTACTTTTTTCATCAGTTTTCTGAATTTCAATCATTGTGTTTTTAGCTCTAGTTTTATTTAAAAGTTTAATTTTGGAATCTATACTAAAGGCCTGAATTTTGATAGTATCAGTCAATGTTTTATGCCTTGAAACAGCTCTTTTTGGCTATTTTTAAATGGTTGTATTGTCTTAATGATTAGAAATAAACTAAAGCATATTAATTTTTTTAAAAGATGACCTTTTTCTTTTATTAATGGCTTATTCACTTTAATTAATTATTTAGGTTTCTAAATTTATAGCTTTTGATTTTATTTTTTAAGGGTAATTATTAAGTACTTGCGAAATTTTTTTTGTTTTTTTTACTTTTAAAGAAATCATTATATGCTAAATAACATAAAAAGTAATTAGATTCCAATAAAGATTAAAAAAAGCGTATGTATTTAAAATAATGACAAAACACATTTTCTCTATTTCATTGTCTTTAAGTTTTTCTAAAAACAAGTCAGTTAAACCAAAATAGATAAATATTTTAATATTTTTATCCTCAGTAAAAACTTAAATAAATATAACAATACATACTAATGTAAAGAAAAAATTTTAAATTGTTTTTAAAATAAAATCTAAAAAAGGTGGAATTTCGTTCTTATGCTTCCTAAAAAACCAAAGTTAAACTAATACATGATTTATTATTTTTATTACTTTTTTATTTTTTTTATTTTTTTTTAAGAAAAAAATAAATATTAAAATATATTTATTTTATATGTTTAAATATTTATTTATTTTTTACTTAAAAAACAAATGCCTAAATAACTAAAGGAAATACTAAAATTTATTAAATAACCCACATTTTATGTTATTATTTAAATAAATTCTATTAATAAGAATATTAAAAGTAAATAATCATTAATTTATGTAAATTAAAATGCTTATCTGTATTATAATTGTAAAGAAAAAAACAACATTTTATACATTCCTAAATTTTAATCTAAAAAAAGATATTCTTTATTTAATATTTTCATTTTTTTTATATTAAAATATTGATTTATTTTAAAAAAATAATAAAAAAATATATAAAAAATTTTAATGAAAAAAGCAAAAATAATATAATAATTATTTATAATATTTTTCAAAAAAAAAAAAAAAATTATAATAAATAATTTTAATTTCTTTCTTTTTTTTTCTATTATCAATTAAAAGAATTATATTTAAATTTTAATTAAAATAAAAACTTCAAAAATATTTATTAATTTATCTTTATTTATTAATTTATCTTTTGCCATAAAATTTAGAAAATATGTATATAATTTATATAAAAATAAATATTTTTAACAAAAATATGTTATTATAATTATTATTATATTATAAATTTAATTAAAATATAAATATTTTAGTGTTTTAAAAATATAAATATAAAATATTTATATTATTTAAATAGAAAAATTAATATATCTAAAAATATTTTGATTTAATTTTATAAATAAAATTCTAATTTAATATATATAATAAATATTAAACACATAAATAATTATATATGATATAAATATAATTGGTATCTATTGGCTTAATTTTAAATACTATATTAAAATCACTATTATATCTAATTTATATATATGTATAATCTCTATTAATTATAAATACTAAATTTGAATAAAACAAATCTTATTAAAAATTATAAAAATAAGATATTTATAATTTATTTTAAGATCAAAAATAAAAAATACTTAATATATATATTTTTTTTGTTATAATTATATAAAAATAATCTTTAATAATTTAAATAAAAAATATAAATAAAAATCAATATATTAATAAGAATTATTTCAATTTACAAATTTATTATTATAGTTCATTTAAATTCATATAATTAATTTTATTTTCAACAAATTCAAACAAATCAAATGTATTATTCGAATTATTTTCAAATATTTCTTTAAAATATAACTTAAAGCTTTTAGAAAAAAAGCTAACAACAATTAAATGAAAACAAAGTCTTTACATTTAAACCATTTTATCATAAGGAATAATACTTAAACTTTCAAAAATTACCATTTATTAATTTTTTTCCATTTCATATTATTAAATTTCTTTACAATTATTTTTTTTCTTTTATTAAATTTTTCTAACACTTTAATATATTTATTCATTTATAAAATTATAAAACTTAATAATTTCCCTTCTAAAGCTTAAATAAATATAAGGCTCAATTAAATCTTTCGAATAATTCAGAGTACTCCTCGGTAAAAAATGCTCTATAATGTTATTTATACACCAAAGACCTTTTTCTTATTGAATTTTTTCCATTCGAATATTATAAACTTTTAACATTACCAACATACTATTAATTGCAAAAGCATTATTAAAATGTTAAAAGATCCCTTCAATATTAATAATTACGCTTGAAATATAATTCTAAACTTAAAACTCAAAAGGATCTTAAGAATTTCCAAATACAAACAAATCTAAATTTTTATCCAAACAAATAATATTTTAATTTTATTAAATTTTAATACAAATTTATTAAAACTGCTAAGGAATTTATAGAGAAAGGTTTTTTTCTCTTTAATAAACTATTTGACTGTTATTTTAAGCATTTCTATATGTCATTGTATCTACTTGAGTAAATTAAACACTATTTTCATTCATAAAATAAGAACAATCAAGTTCTGATTAATTAATAATGTTATTTTCAGAAGGTGTTTTTTTTGTTAGATTATTTATTTATGATAATTATTATTGAATGCTATTTTTTTATTCGGAAACGACTTCTATATTTGAATTTTCGCTTTTTTTTTATTTTAAAGTTCTAGAAGGTAAATCTTCACTTTTTTTTTAAGATATATGTTTATTGAAAAAATCTTATAAAAAAGTTTCTTCTTTTTTCTTCTACATAATACTTTAAGAAGAAATTCTCTAGTTAATAGAATCTTCATCAGTATTGACCTATTTTTGTTTCCCAGAATTGGCTTCTTCCCCAGATATATATCTACAATTAAAAGAATCATTAAAATAAGTTTAACTTTATAATTTTTAAGATTGCTATTATTAATAAAAACTCTAAACAAAGCTTTTATTTAGAATCGAATTTGTAATACAATAAGAACTATTTGCTTTTTTTAAATCTAAATCTTCCTCAGATTAACTCAAATCGAAGTTTAAAATATTCTATTTGATTTCAGTCCAATTAAATCTATCTTCTTCTTTAAAAGTAAGTAATTTTTGTAAAAAAAAATACTAAAATTCGACACACATTCACTTTTACAAATTAAATCCGATTTTAGAGTAGCACATTGGTATTTTAGTTATTTATATGCACTACTTAAATCCTCATTTTCATCAATTTTTATTTTACAGAATTTCTCTTAAAATAATAATTCGTAAAAAATACACCCGACACTCCAAAAGTTAGATTATATTGAAATTTTTTTATATTTTATTGATTCAGGGGCACTATATTCGCTCAAAAAGAGTTTTTCGATAAATTTATTCACTTTTTCTTCCTCACAGACATCTTAAATATTCGAAAACTTAATTTCATTATTCTCATCAATTAATATTTTTGACATTTTCAAATTGCAATTTATATACTTTTATTAATAACTAAATACATTCTTATAATTATTTAGTTCATAAAGTATCCCCATAAGACTTTTTAAGATATAAAGAGCCTCTGTTTCGCTTACTTAATGCTTTATTTTTTAGCTTAATTTATATGGTATATATTCATTTACAAGTTTTATTTTTGTTTATGTTTCTATATTTGTGATTAGCTAAGGAAAATGCTTCTTATTTAATGTTTAATATAAATCTATTGAATTATATATTAGTTAATATATTTATTTGCTATTGGGTTCGTTTTCTATATCTTTTTTCGTATATATTTTTATGTATACTAATTATTCTGTTTTATCGTTAAGTTATGATTTGTAAGATTTTAAATATTTTTTATTTTATGAAATAAAGCTTTCTAAAAGTAAAAACTTTGATGAATTTTTCATTTCTTTATTTAAAATTTAATAATAAATTGCTTATATTTAAAAATTTATTACTTATTTTAAAAAAAAGCTATTTAAGTGAATTTTTAATTATTTATATATATATATATATATATATATATATATATATATATATATATATATATATATATTCTTTTAAAATAATAAAGAATTGTCTTTATCAATTATTTTTTTTATTTTAATTATATATTTTTTATTAATACATCTATATGTTTTGCTTTTATTGTTTATTGAAAAAGATATAGAAGATAAAATATTATTATTATATACATATATATACATATTCATTTCTTTACTTTTCTTTTCTTTTTTTTATTGAATAAAAAAAAATCATTATTATTGTTTTTATTACTATTATTATTATATATTAAATACATGAACTAGAATTTCTTCTAATTAATTAAAAATAATAGGTTTCGTTAAATAATATTTCATTCCGCTTTCGAAAGCCTTTTTTTATTCATCCTATTAAACATAAGCACTACAAGCTGAAATAATACTTGGTTTTTCATTTAAATCTTTAAAAAACTAAATAATTTCAGTAGTAGTTTCATGTCCGTTTTTATTAGGCATATCAATATCCATAAACAAAATTTAATATTTTTTACAACAATTAGACTAAAAATACATTTCTTTAACTTTCTAAATAGCCAAATCTCCACTCAAAGCCTTATCGCAAATAAATCCATACATTTTCAACCTAATATCTAACGAATATACATTAAACTCATTATCATCAACAATTAAAATACTAATACAATTGCAATTTTTGACTTTATTGAATTAAATAAGTTTTTCCTTTAAAGTTATTTAATCATTTTAATTAAAAAGCTAACTTTTAGCCATTTATTTTTAAATAGAATTTGCACTTTAAGAGCTATCATTTGATTTTTTTTTTTATAATTCTAAATTCGAAATTTTCTATGCACTATTAATTAGTTATTCTTAATTAAATAATTTTTTAAGACTGTTTTTTTTTAAATCGTTTTGTTTTATATTTTTATCTAAAAAATTAATTTAATTTTCACTTGAAAAATACTATTCCTAAAGTGAACAGATTTACATACTATTTACCTATTATATTTTATTCTTTTCATTTATACTATCTTCCCTTTATATTTCACAACTTTCATCAATATTTAGATTTTCTTACATATTCTATTATAAATCTTTTTTCATATCATTTATAATTTTCTAAAATTTATCTTTTTTAATCACATTATGTAATTCATAAACATTACTTCTTTTATGACCTAAACTAATCGACTTTATATCATTTTCACAATTCTCACTTGAACTATTTTCATTATTAACTGATCTCTCATCTCCTAAACTTCTGTAAATATTATTCTTAGCTATCATCTTTAAATGCTATACCTGTTCTTCGTTTTCACTAAAATAATCGCTTTCGTTACTTTATGATTATTTATTTTCCTCTTCTTCTTCATCCTCACTTTACGAATTATTAAAATTTGTTTTTTACCCTTTTAAAGAAATTGTCCTCCAGTCTAAAACTTCGTTATCGACAAGTTGTTTTCTCGAATAAATACATCCCAATTTATCCCTAGGTCTATCCACGACATAAAAAAAAAATGAAGAACCCTAATCTTCCTCACTATTTACATTTAATTACCTTTTTTTCCCTAAACCAAAAGCCAAATTAAAGGCAATAGTAAGCCCTAAACCCGCTCCTTTTGTATTTAGAGTCCCACTAGAATATTTAGGGTTCTAAACTTACCCAAACTATCTAAAAATATTATCTTTTTCATATTTTGAAAGTCCACAACCTGTGTCCCTAACTTCAACTTTATAAAGGTCTTTTTCAACTTAATCCACATAAACTTAAACGAAGCCTTCGTTAGTGAATTTTATGGCATTTGAAAGTAAATTTAAAAGCACTTATTTCAGCCTATCTTAGTCTGTGTATATATTATTTGGAATCTTTGGGTCTACCTCAAAAAAGATATCTATATTTTTCTATAAGGCTTATAAGTATACTAAATTAATTGTTTCTCTTACTAACTTTCTTATATCAAAAATCTTGAAGTATAATTAAAAATTGCCTGCATTAATTTAGCCTAGATCTAAAATATCATTAATGATGTTCAAAAGTAAATAATTCGAATTTAAAGCCGGCAAAAGAAGATTTTCCTTCACTTCTTCGTCTATCTTTTGACTTTGGGATATAATATCTAATAAATTAATACTGCAATTTAAAGGAGTTCTCAATTCATGGGAAAGAGAACAGAGTACTTTATTTGTATATTTACCTAAATCTTATTATATTAAATGTTGATTTTATTTTGTAATATCTAGAATTTCTATTAGAATGTATTTAAAGGATATGTCGTTCTCGAATTTTGTAAAGGGAGTTAGTTTGAATTTCGTGAGTCTTTTTTTTAGAAAAACTGGCTTTATAATTAATATTATACTATCGTTATCTATGTAAAAAATATAGTTTGCCATTTAATTTTGCTCGTTAATTAAGTCTATAAGTTAATTATTCGGTCTTCTGTTTCTTTTCTGACAAAAAATATTCTTAGAACTTCCCTCGAATTTATTGTTTGCATGAATAAATAAATAATGGACAAAATTAAATAAAATAGCGTTATTATTTCCTGTAATAATACTAAAATCACCATAAACTCCATTTTTTATAAATTAACTCCCGTACATATAGTTAGTTGCTTTAATTTTACTATTTTTTGATGTTTTACTATTATTCAATTAGTCTAAAAAAGTCTAAACATTTATATTTTATTTTGGAGAATTTTTCATTTCTTAAAATAAAGTTTAAAAGTAATCATTTTTTTAAGATATTTAAGATTTAGAATTTATACTTAAAGAAATTTTGAATAGATTATATAAAAAATCAGATATATCTTCACTTTCTGAAACATCTATAAAACGATGGATTTATTAATTATAATATTTAATATTTAAATCCTAATCTATAATAATATAGGCAGTTTCTAATTATTAAATAATTAATTATTCAAAATTTTATAAATCTTCAATATTTTAGTTCGAAACATTTAAATTATATGTTTTGTACGAAATAACTGTATTATTAATATTTTCCTGTTATTTTAATTCACACTTTTTTTCAGATAAATATTGGTTTAAACTGACTACTTTTGTTATATTTTCGTTTATTTTTGTTTATGTATGTTTTGCTTGCTGTTTTTGAAATATTTAATACATCGAATTTTAATTTTAACGAATATTATTCTTTGAATTGATATGCTAATGTTAGTACTTTTTAAAATTTTAGATTTAAGATTGTTAATGAATTAACTTTTCGTTTATTAAACAAAACAATATTAAAATTAAAATTAAAAAGAGTCTATATTTGCTATAAAAAGATAAACTATTTGCCAATTAAATCCTAACAATAAAATATATTGAAGAGGAAATACAAAGAAATAAAGTTAATATATTTCTATAATTTAATTCTAAAAAAATCCTACAAATTAATAAAATCTAAAAATAATTGTTTTCTTAAATATTATATTTGAAATTTAAATTAATTTCTAATAATAAAACAAATATAATTAGTTGTAGAATAATAATAAGATCATACACTTTCTTACCTTTCAATTTATACAAAAAAAATAGCAAAAAAATTAAAACCTAAATTGTTATTACAATTACCAGTAAAGGTTTAAAATCATTATAATCATAAACGTATTAAAGTATTAAATATTCGATTGTTTATATAAAGACTAATAAAATAAAAAAAAATTTTAATAATAAACCGTTTGTCTTTTTTAATAAATTTATCATCATATTTTTTTTATTTTTTAATAATGTATATTGTTATATAAATAAAAAAGGTATTTATTTTTATTTATTAATACAGTTATTTTTTTTCTTAAATAAATATATTAATTAAAAACTTCATATAAGTAAATAAAGTAAGTATTTTAAAATTTAATAGTTATATATAAGATTTTAGATACAAAAAATAAAATATTAAACATATTTATAAAAATAAACAAAGAGTTAAATTAAATTTTTAATATTTATTTTAAAAATGATTAAATTGCAATAAATAACTATTAATATAATTAAAACTACATATATGTTTTTAAAATTTAAAATGATAAAATTTAATTAAAATAAAAATTCGTATAAATTTATATATATATTTTAAATTATAAATATATTTATTTTTATCAATAAATATTTTTTATAAAAAGTCTTTATTATCTATAAAATATATTATTATTTCTTTAAATATTTATTTATAAAAATCGAACACAATATAATATATATATATATATATATATATATATATATATATATATATATATATATATATATTATTTTATTGCTATATTGAAAACATACATTTTTTTATTTAATAAAAATAATTAATAGTTTATTTAATTTAATAAAAAAAATAAAGATTTTTATTATTAAACATAATAAATATTTAATAATAAATACTTATTAATCATCTAATATTATTTTATTTTTTTATTTTAATAATGTATTTAATAATATTTTGTATATATATATATAAAAATAGTTTTATAGTCAAAATTAAGATAATTAAAAGAATAAAATTAAAATATATTATAAATAAAACTAAAATTATTTTTTTATTAAAAAAAAAAAAAAAAAAAATCAAAATCACAATCATAATACTTTAAATCTTTAAATTAAAAAAAAAAGTTAAATAAATATAAAAATATAAGCTAAAAAATAAATATATATATATATATATAAAATAAAATATAAAATATGTATATATTTTTTATAATATTAATAAATATAATATCTATAAAATAAAAAAAAAAACTAAAAAACTAAAAAAATAAAAAATAAAAAAAACTAAAAATAAAAATAAAAAATGTCTTGCGTAGTAAAAAAACACAAATAAATCTAATATTTATAAAAAAATAGGATAAAAACTGTACTGATGTTCATAAATATGAAAAATAAATCTAAGAAGATGTCGATAATGCTTTAAAAGAACTCCCATTAAGCGAAAAATTCCGTGCTGTAGCTATAAACTATCATTTATTAAAAAAGAAAGCTTTAGATGATGAATTATCTGAAAAAATGTAATTATTATAATACGAATATGAATTAAAATCTAAGCCAATATACGAAAAAGTACAAAAATAAAAAGAAATAATACATATTTATAAATTAAAATAAAAAATAAAAAAGTCATAAGAATTAATATAAGGAAAATACCCAGCTGAAGAAGATCTTAAAGACTTATAAAAATATTTAAAAGAAGGCGAAAAAGATCAACTCGAGGCATTACCAAAAGAATAAGAAATAAGCGAATTTTGGTCCAAAGCAATGTGGAATAATGATATTCTTGCTTAAGAAATAAAATAATAAGACGGTCCTGTATTAAAAAGTTTGAAAAGAATAGAATATATTCCTTTAGACGCATGTAAATATGAATTAATTTTCCATTTCAGTGAGAACGAATTTTTTAAAAATTCGACTTTAAAAAAGACTTTCGAATTAGATAAGGAAGGTGAACCTTTAAAATCTACAGGTACAGAAATTGAATGGAATGAAGGAAAAAAAACTACAGTTAAAATTACAAAAAAAACCTAAAAAAATAAAAAAACTGGAGCTAAAAGAGTTGTTGAAAAAGAACAAAAAATTGAATCTTTCTTCAATTTCTTTAATAATTCTGCGCCTATAAAAAGCACAGAAAAAGAAGAAAGTGAAAATGAAGAAGAAAATGTTTAATTAGATAGACTTAATATTGATTTTGATATCTATAAGAGTTTAGTTGATGAAGTTATTCCTTACTCCCTTGAGTATTTCTTAGGAGTTAAAACTGGAGAAGATGAATATGATGATGAAGATTTAGATGATGAAGAGGATATAGAAGAACCTCCTAAAGATAAAAAAGCAGGAAAAGGTAAAGGAAATAGTAAAGGAGGGGCGACTGGTGAAAAACAAGAATGCAAATAATAATGATGAAAATATTATTTATTGTGTGTGTGTTTTTTTTTTATAAAAAAAGATATAAAGCAAATTAAGTGTTTATTTGATTTTTTTCGAATTTATAATTTATAAAAAGAAAGAAATTTTCTAAATAATTTATATTTTTCATATTATTATATAAAATATGTATAAAATTTTTTTATTTATAATTGTATAGTTTTTTTTTAAAAAAAGTTAAAAATAAGAAATATCAATTTATATTTAAAATATATAAATAAAAAATAATTTATAATTATTATTTTGTTTATTCTAAATATTAAATAACAATATATACATATATATATATATACATGCCAATAAAACAAAAACATCGATAGATATAATCATAAATATGCCATTTTTAGAACTAAAATAAATAATATCTAATTTTAAATAGAATAATAAATTTAATTAATGAAAAAATAAAAATAAAAAAAAGATAATAATTATTATCTAAAAATATAGAGAACAATTATGTTTTTGAAAATTAATAATTTATTGCTCGAATAATAATAAAAGAAAAGACAATATAATTATTATAAAATATTTAAATTATTTATTATAATTAATATTATTAATATATAAATAAATAAAATATAAATATAATGTTTACAATGAATAATCAAAAATAATAAATAAAAAATTAAAATAAAAATATATTAAAAATCAAATAAAAAGAATATAAAAAATAAAACATAATCATTTTAAGTAAATAAATTATTTAATATTTAAAATAAATAAGATAAATTATTATAAATATAAATTTTTAAGAGAATTTTTTATTCTTAAAAAATAATATTAATAAAAATTAAATATGTAATATAAAATAAAGTAATAAAAAAATATTTATATATTTTTATATGGAAATATATAAATATATAAACATTTAAATAAATTATATTTTTATTTATATATATCTTATTTAATAATTATTATTTTTTATTATAAGTATTTTTATTATAGATAATCTAAATTTATATAAATTTTTATTTTAGTTTATATATTTAATTTTTATATATTTATTTATAATATTTTATTTTTTCTATTTATAAATAATGCAAATAACAAATTTAATAATATTTACGAAAAATAATCATTATTATTTATATATTAAGTATTTTTTAAAAAATATATTATAAAAATCAATATTAAAAAATGGCAACTAATTCATCTAGCTAAAATACATCTAAAATTTAAAATTCGTTCTAATCTTAAAACAACTCTACCCCATCTCCGGTTTCTAACAACCACTTCAAATGCCCTAACCACCCAAATATTTCTGGTTTCAGTCTTTGTATAGACGTGAACTGTTCTGCTGGCAGCCGTATAATTTGCTAATAATGCATAAAGAAGACTGACCTTCACTCTACTCATAAACACAACATTTTATCTTTACAAGAACTTAAAGAAAGTAATTGCTAAAATGTAATTAATAATTTTTATCCCTTTCACCCTTAAAACCAGACAATTAATTTAAATAAAAAATACATTGAAATTTCTTCTATAGACCAAGTATTCGAAGAAATAATTGATTAATTCATAAAAGGAATGAAATAATATCAAAAAGACATAATTTCAAAAGTTGAAGTATAAAACAATAAAATTTTAAACGTAAAAAACTCTAAACCAGTTTAAAAAATAAATTCCGTCTTTAAAAATTACTACGAAAACAGAATCGAATACGAAGTTTTTTAAAATGCACTACAATATGAGCTAAAAGAGCTTCAAAAATTAGTCAATACTATCTCATTTGCAGATTTTTCATTTTAGCCTTAATAATGGAAATAAATCTCTTCTTAATAGATTTCTTAATATGCGAATTTACACTCTTAAATAATTACTTAGTTTGAGCAAAAAGTCCTTACTTTTGATAAAATAGACTCTTTAATTAAATAAAAATTCTCCCAAAAATACCAAAACAAGAAAATTGAAGTTGCGAAAACAGACGATTTCTGGAGTTCAATGGGCTTTGAATGTTATGTAGCTATATATGGAAAGGAAGAAATTACAAATATAAAGGAAGTTTGTGATGAATTATCTAAATATAACTAGGATAAAGTCTGTTTTAGTGTCTATTTACCTCGAATGGATATGGACGATACTTAGCTTTCCCTTGTTTGTGATGAAATGAGGAATATAAGTAATACAAAAAATATAAATATATGTTTGGCCGATAATAAAATATCAAGTGACGGGTATGTGAAGCTTTTTGACTGTTTATCGAATTTTAAATAAATCAATCATTTAGCAATTTACATAGATAATAATGGATAAATGAACAAATAGGCTTTCGAATAATTAAGTAATTTAATATTTACTCATTCATATAATTTGAAGAAAATTTATATTTCAATAAATGGGTCTATGAAATTATAAAATAATGAATCAAAATAATAATTTAAATAACTAATGGAATTTATATAGAGAATCAATCAATTAGAAGTTTTGTATCTATCTTTAAGAAATAATGATATAAATATAGAAGAATCCTATTATATTTCAAGTGTTTTAGAAAATAATGTTAATCTAGGAATTGTATATATTTTATTAGATAATAATAATATAAGAAGTGAAGGGGCTAATAGTATTCTTAATGCAGTTTAAAAAATGAAAAAATTAAAATGGTTGGCTTTAGGGATATTAATTAACAATATTGATGAGGAAAATAAAAAAATGCTTAAAATGAAATTCGATAGTATAAGTTGTCCAAAAAAAGAAAAATGGATTTGATTTTTTTATATATATATATATATATATATATATATATATATATATATTATTAATAATAATAATTATTACAATGATTATAGCTTTTAATATTATTATTATTATTATAAATATTTTTATTATTATTATTATTATTAATATTGTTTTTATTATTATTTTTTAAACAATATATTTTTCTGTTTATTTTATTTTATATTTAAAAATATTTATTATATTAATTTTTTAAATCTTCAAATATATTTTTAATTATGAATATATGTATAAATAAAATATTTTTTTTCTTTAATAAATTATTTATTATATCTTTTTTACATAATATATAAAATAATTATTATCAGAAAATTTTTTATAAATAAAAAAAAATTATATACAAATAAAAAATAGATAATTACATTTAATATATTAATTAAAATAAAAAAAAAAAAAAAAAAAATCTTAAGTATATTTATTAAATAAAATAAATAAATATATTTATTAAGATATATATATTTTTTTATTATTATTATAATTTTATTTATATATATTTTAACTTATATATTCTTTATTTTATTCTTTTTCCTTAATATGTTTAGTTTTAAAATAATAAAATAAATAATTTATATATAAATATATATATATATATATATATATATATATATATATATTTTTAATGTTTTATTTTTTCAATCTATTTCATAAAAACTTTTTTATTAAAAACAATATTATATATACTATATTATTTATTTTATATTTCTTGTATATTATAAAACATTAAATATAAAAATTTAAAATAAAATTTTTTATATATATTTTATATAATAAAAATATCATTATTGCTATAATTAATTATTAATGTTATTTTTTATAGAAAAATAATAATAAATATATTAAATATAAACATTTAAATAACTAATAGCAATTTTAATTCTTTTTATATATAATATTTTTATTATAAAAAATATTTTTTTTGACATTTTATATAATTTTTACTTAAGTATAATTTTATATATTTTTTTTATTATTATTTATCTTAAGAATATATAGAAATTATATATATATTATTATTTTTAAAATTTAATATAAATATTTCATATATTTTTATTTTATATTTTTAAAGTTTAATGAATATTATATGTTTAGAATATTTTATTTTTATTTTCTTTCATTATTTATAAAGAATCTTTTTATTTTTGTATTTATTAATTTTAAAAAGCTATTTAATATTCATTTTTAAAGCTAAATAGATATAAATTTTCAATATATAATTTATTTTTATTATAAAAAATATGAAGTCTATTAAAATTAAATCTAATAATAAAATACAAAACTTCAAGTTAAAAATAAAGCTTATTTTATTTTTTACGTGCTTCTGTCATATATATGTATTGTAAACAAAATTATATTTTTTCATTTATATCTAAAAGTTTAAAATAAATATAAAAAATATAAAATAATATAATGTCATATTACATAAATTATATTCATTAAAAATTAAATAATTAATAGTTCAATTTTCCATTATATTCCTATTATTTATTAAATAAAATATACAATTTTAATTAAAAGAAATCTTAAATATTTTTTATTTTTAAAAAGTAAAAATAAAAACAATTAATAAATAAATAAAAAATACATTTAAAACAAAAAAAAATCATAATAAAAAAAAATATTATTACTAAAAACAAATAAACTAAAACAAAATAAAAATATAAAAAATGGACACATTAGATATAGATTCAAACAGTTTTGAAGCCCAAAAATACTTAACAGAATTTCTCAAAAGAAATTCCCTACAAGACCTAATTCGAAAAAATAACACAGTCCAGTAAGAAATAAAAAATTACGATTAAGAAATCTAATCACTAGTATTCCAAAATTATTCAAAATTTATAAGTTCTATAGACACAGTAAAGAAGATGAAAAACGATATTTTTAAAGTAGATGATAAAATGAAAAACCTAGAAGAGTCAATGAATAAAATAATTACTTTATCAACCCATATAGACGATTCTTTAAGTATAAAACGAGGAGAAATCTAAAAATTAGATATAATAAATAAAGATTTATAAAAACTTAATTCACTTTGTTAATTTCCAGAAATATTAACTAAAGATTTACAAGCTTACAAATAAATGGTAGAAATATAAAAAATTGATTATAAAGAAATATTCTCTAAGTCAGTAGAAAATTATAAGGTATATGATATAAATATAATATATATATATAAAATTTATATTATATATATATATATATTTATATATATATATATATATTTTTTTTATTTATTTAATATTAATAAAGGTATGTTTTAAAATGTTGGATGATTTTAAAGAAGAACCATTAGTAGCTCCTATATATAAAGATTCAATAGGAAAAATTGAAGAAATAAGAACTATATTATGGAATTTATAAAATTTATACAAGCCTTAAAGCTTTTTATTAGGTCTTATTAAACAAAAAAGTGGACAAGTGGATTAATTAAATACCCAAGAATTAAAATTTATAACTAATAAATTAGTAGCTTTTATGTAGGATTAAGAGTCTGTTTTAAGAAATTATTTGAAAATTGCAAAGGATAGATTTTAATAAATGGCTTCTGATATTATAGAAAATTAAGTTTCATTATAAGTTTTAGGATTAAAATAAAATAATAATGAAGATTAATAATAATAATGTATTTTTATTTTTGAATATATATAAAAAAATAAATAAATAATTTTCTTAAAAAAAGAAATTAATTTTTAATAGAAATTAGACTAATTTTTATAAACAAAAAATATTGTGTAAATTTAGATGAATTAAAAAATTTCTATGAAAATCTAGAATATCAAACAGTAAAAATTTAAACTGACTAAGAAGGAACAATAATATGGCTAATGAATTAACTAAAAGTAAATTTATTCGAAGAACTTAAAAATGAAATATAATTTTTATTGAAAGAAATAAGTTAAATATTAAACCCTAAATTTTAAAAAGGAGATGTTATTTCATAAACAATAAAAGAAATTTTTATGAATTTATTACAAAAAACAAGCGAAAAAATATCATCTAAAAAAATAACAAATTTAGAAGTAACATTAAATATATTATCTATATATATAAATATATAAATATATAAATATATAATTATATATATATAAATATAAAAAATTTTATTGTATAATATTATTTACTTTAAAATAATCTATATTTATAGGTAAATTAATGCTTTAAAGTATTAAATGAATTTTTAAATGAATAAATTTTCTAAAATTAGTTTATTGATAGAAATTTAAAGACTGAACTAGCCGATAAATTTTTCGAATAAGTCGAGAATGTATGTAGAAGTTAAGTAATGAATTGTTTTTCTAATTTAAGATATGACTACATGTAATTAATAATTGAGACTAAATATTAATGTAAATAAATTTAAGATGAATACATAAACGATAAATCAGATCATGATTTACAAGAAGCCGAATCGAATTTAAAAAGGGAAATTTTTTAATTGACAACAATTTTAAAAAATAAACTAGATTCACTTATTTAATGTGTATCTTTAGAACTTAAATCTTTTGTATTTTCAGAAGATTAATATCTAAAAAATCACGATATGTTTATAGGTCTTATGCATGGTTAAATGGTTGATTTTTGTAAAATTATACACAAAACACTAGGAATGAGATAAAATTAAGTTTCTATTGATAATGTTAATTTATATAATAGTGTACCAGCTAATAGGACTTAAATGAATAAACTTAATAATTAATTTATTGCACTTTTTTAGAGATTTTAATAAAGTCCGGAAAATAATGTTTATTTTTTATTAGTTAATTAATTCTTATAAATTTATGAAAAAAAAATTATTTCGCAAATTTTTGATACATTAAATACAATTATTGAGTAATCTTTACCTTCACTAATTTAATAATAATATTCTTTATAAAAGTAAATATATTTATATATATATATATATATATATATATATATATATATATTATATTTTTTTATTTTTATATATATTTTTTATTAGTTTTTATTAAAATCTTAAAAGCACTACTTTAAATTAAGATATATAAAAAATACAAAACGGTGCTAAATATGATTTTAGTATAAACTACGTAAACTATTGTTAAAGTTCTTCTGAAGAAATTCTCGGAAGCCTTGACTCTTATTTCGAAGACAATAAATTCATTTAAAACACATAACCTCCATCAGATATATCACCTGAAATAAATAATATTGTAAACTATATTCGTACTATAATATTAGAATTGAACATATTTTTCCCCGACATGAAACGTAGTTTAGTAAAGAAAACCTCATTTGTTAAACTTGACGGTACTTTTAATATTGAAATGGAACGTATGCTGGTAAAAAAAAGCCACTAATTCGATACTAATAGGTTAGAATTTAATCGAAATTTACTTCTAATGAGTCTTTTGAAAGGTATTTTTAAAGGAATAATTGAAAGAGTTAGATAAGTGAAGATTTTTGATAATTTTTCCTTTTAATAATTATAAATTGACTTATGTTTTATTATGTAACTTTTCTTTGAAATGGTCGCTGTAGATGATGAGAGTTTCATAACAGCTCTTTATTTTGAAATTATAGAGAGCGCAAGTGATAATTATTTAGATAATAAAAAATTAGATTAATAAATAATAGATAACATTGTATAATAAAAAAGATAAAAACTAAAAATATGAAGATATATATATATTAATATTTATATATTTATATATATATATTATATATATATTTATTATATATTACAAGTATAAATATACTTATATATAAAAAATGTATAATAAAATAAAAAATATATTCTATCTTAATTAATATTAAAAATAATGTTTCTCTTCTTAAATTTTTCTTCAAAGTCTTTCTAAAATAAGAGCCATTTAACATTAAAATAATATTAACATATTCCATATAAATTCTAATTTTGAGAAAAATTATCCTTTAAATTAATAATTATAGACCGAAATAAACAATCTAATATTACAAATGTATAAAAATTCAATAAAAATTAAAGAATTTTAAGCTTAATTTTCTCAAAACGACTAAAACTTAATACAAAGCATTCTTTTAAATATAATACTTGCCCTAAATTTCTAAAAAAACAACAATATTTATTAATAAATAATCATAGGAGTTGATATTTTAATTTTTTCGATAAAATATTAACTATTAAATGAACAAATAGTTTATTTTTTTAAATAACTATTCGAAAAAATAAGCCATATAGATATAAAAAATCTCTAAAAACACCAAATAGAATAAATTATCGAATCTTTTATAAAAATAATAAAAGAAAAATAACTTTAAATGTACGAATAATTTTTTTATAAAATAATACTAAATTTTCTATAAAAAACGCAAAAAATACACCCAATATCACTTCATAAAAAACTGGAAATTTTTCAATAAATAAATCCATTAGAAAATCATATAATTTAAAAAATAAATGAAAAATCTGAAAATTAATAAGATTTTCTTTAAAAAATAAATGAAAAAATTTAAAATAATGCTTTTTTAAATCAAAAATCTTAAAACGAACTCGAAAATCTTTAAAATCAATAAAATGAATAACAAAATCTTATAAACAAACAGGAAAATCTTTAAAAATAACAACAAAATCTTTAATATTAGCAAGAAAATATTTAAAATCAATAAAATAAATAACAAAATATTATAAACGAACAGGAAAATCTTTAAAATAAATAACAAAATCTTTAATATTAACAAGAAAATTATGAAAATCAATAAAATAAATAACAAAATCTTATAAACGAACAGGAAAATCTTTAAAATTAGAATGAAAATCAATAATAAAATCTTTAAAATTACCAAGAAAATAATAATATACAAAAAACAAATGAAAATGATTAAAATATAAATCAAATTTTATTCGAAAATTAAAAAGATCAAAATCTCGATTTTTATTTAAAATAATTATTTATGTTCCTTTAAAATGATATATTTATTAGTTTTTTACTTTTGAATGAAATTTAGAATTTTTAAACATTAAATTTATTCATAAAATAGTTCAAAAATACTCAAATAGACGAAATTCCTCCCCAAACATTCATTTAATATATTTAACTATTGAAAAATTAAGATAATATAGGAGAATTAATCGATTTTATAGAAAATATGGCCGAAAAATCTATATATAATAATAATATATAAAAAAGAATAACTTTATATACCCAATTATATGAACTTATATTAGACTATCCTGAAGATAAATACTCTAAAACACATTTAATTTGCAAATTATTTAATATTTTTGACAAAAGTTTGATTGTAAAGCATTCTTTAATGAAAAAACTGGAAGAAATATTGACAAAAGGTAATCTTTTTTAAAAAATGAATATAGATTAGTTTTAAAAAATGCTTTAATTTTTAAGTTAATACCCTTTAAATCCTTTGATATTAACTAAAAATCAAATAAATTTTTTCTTTTAAAAAAATATAAACTAAATGCAAAATGAAACAAAAATTTAAATAATTTTTTCGCTTTTGAAATTCGAGAAAAAATTTGATTTTTAAAAAATAGCTGAAAATCCAACTTTTATATCAATTGAAAATATTTCCTTAATTTCTAATTTTTTCCTTTATTTTTTAAAAAATTAAAATAAGTCTCTAAAAGAGAAAATTTCCTTTTATTTTTTAGCCAAAAATTTCCTTCTTTTTAAAAAAGATGAAAAAAATTAAATTTTAAATGAAAAAAATAAAGATGATTTAGCCTAAACATTTAAAAAAGTCAATTTTTCGGGTACAATTTCACTTCTTTAAAAACAAGTTATTGATTAAATAGTTCAAAATAATAAAAATCTAATTAAAAATTATAAATAAGAAATATTTATAGATGATACTTTTTAAATAGATTGTTTAATTAATGATAATATAGTGGTTGAAGTAAATGGATTTTAACATTATTTCTATACATACGATATTTAAAAAGATTAAGAAAATATTAAAACATAAGATGAAATTATTATAGAAGATCTAAACATTTAAATATTTGTAATTGAAAATATATATACATAACTTAAATTTAAGATTTTGAATTAAAATTATGGACTTGAGGTCAGATATATACCTTTTAGTGTTTATGAAAAGTATAAAAAATAAAATAAGCATATAGAATTTTTAAATGAAATAGTTTTTAAAAATAGAAGTATTAAAGATATTATTAAAATAATTTGAATTTTTTTTATTTTAAATTTAATTATTAAGTATTATATAAATAAATAACATAAATATAAATAAATATATTTATAAATAAAAATATTTATATATTTATATATTTTAATATAAATATATTTATATATTTTTATTTTTTAATATTATAAAATATTTTTAATATTATAATATATATAATATTTTTTTGAAAAATAACTATATATAATTTTTTTTTACTATTAATAATAGTATTTTGTTTTTGTTTTTTTAAATAAACTATATTATCGATTATTAAAATATTGTATTTTTTTTATAATAATATTTAAAGTAAAATAATATGAAAATAAAATAAATATTTTTAATTATAAATATATATATAAATAAATATATATATATATATATATATATATATATATATTAAATTTTAAATTAGTACTTAATATATTTAAAATAAACTTAGTAAAAATAGATATTTAATTTATTTAAATTAATTAAATACTTTTTTTAAAAAAAGCAAATATATTTGTTTTACAATAATATTTAATAAATTAAAAATTAAATATATAAAACCTTTAAAATAAAAATTTCTCATTTTATTTTTATATATATTAATTAAAAACTTTATTTTTACAATCGATATTAAGTTCTTTTTATTTCTTTATTAAAAACATAAATAATAATATTTTTATTTAATTAAAAAGTATACTTTTAGAATAATTTAATTAAAAATATAAAGTATGTAATAATAATTATATAAAATTAGGAACACTAATAAATATAATAAGAATAATAGGAATACTATATATCGTAATTAAAGAAGAATACATTTTAAAATTAATTTTACTTAATTAGATATTTATACATTAATAAATATATATTTTATTGCTTTATTTTATAATAAAATCATTAAAATAATATATTTTTGATTTAGCCTATATTCTATTTTATTATATATCAATTTTGTTATTTAAATAAAAATATATAGAATTTTTTTAAAATTAAATACAAATCATTTAAGTAATTATTTTGTACTATTGAAATTCTAAATTTTAATAATAAAATAGGCTTTATTGTTAACCTTTTTTATGCTTTTTTACATATAATTACTATGTCAATAAACGCAAATTGTTATTTAATGATATAAAAATAAAAGAAATAGTAAATATTTATAACCAAATAAAACAATATAAATTTTAAAATATTTGTTCTGTATACTAAAGGTTTTTTTTTATATAATAACTTATATTAGTATTTATAATAAACGGATATTTTAATATTAATTGGATTAGTATATATTTACCTCTTTTATATTAATTTTAATTTTTGTATCTTTTTAAATATTTATTTATCCCATTATTCATATAATTTAAATTATTCTTTTCAAGTAAAAAATATAAATTTAGATAAATAAAAACTTTAATCTTATATAATGCTAAATAATTTTAGATTTATTTATTTTTTGTTTATATATTTAATAATAAATTATATTATATAAAGCAAATAAGCAATTTTGTTTAATATTTTTCATAAAAAACCTTATAAAATTTATTATAAAAAGTTTATTAATAAAGATATTTAATAAGAAACTAACATTAACTAATATAAAAAGTTATTTAATATAATTAAAGAAACTAATATAAAAACAGTAATAAAAATAAACGAAAAATAAAAGTAGAATTAATAAAAAAAATTAAAAACAAAATCTAATAAACATAAAACTTTGAATAATAATTATAAAATAACATTATTTTTTAAAATAGTCATTAAATTTCTATCAATATAATTTTAATTTGATATTTTATTTTATTTTTTTACGTAAAAAGAAATCTAATTCAGTCTTTTAATTCGTTTAAACCAATATTTTCATTTTTTTGCTAAATAATAAAATTAAATTAATAAATAACTAAATAAAATGTATTTCTCTATATATTTAATATTATACTCTCAAACAAATATTTAAACACTTAATTTAATTAAATAACTATTTTTTTAATTAAAAAAATAAATAAACTTTCCTAATATTATAATATTACTATTCAAATAAATCTATATGTATAATATTAGTTATTTATTTATATATTCATATATTTTATTTTCTTTAATATAATAACTTTTTTATTTATAAAACATAATAAATATATTATATATTTAAACAAATAATGCATATATATTTATTTTACTTTTATTTAAAAAAAAAAAAATAACAAAAAAAATAATAAAAATTAAAAAAAAAATACAAAACACCATCACCAAAAAAAAAAAACAAAAAAAAAAAACAATGAATTTCTAGCCAGTATACATATAATAACCTAATTTAGCTATTCCATTATAACACCAAAACATATAATAATAATTAAGATCAGAGAATGTATAAATTTAATCCCATACATCAAACCCTTACGTACTTCCCGCAACTGCTAATCCTAGAAAAGATACTGTTACAGTCCGTGCAGATGACTCATCAGAAACTATAAGAATCCAAGCTTAAAGAATATCAAGATTAGAAGAAAGGTGTGATCTTTTAACAAAATAATATTAAAGATATGTAGCCGCTATATCTTATAAAGATTAAGAAATAGGTCATTGGTAGGAACGTTGTAATATATTATAAGCACATTTAGGTAAAAAAAATTTAAATAAAGTAAATATATATTAATATTATTATTTAAAAATAAAAACATAACCACATAGAAACTCCATATAAAAGAATAGAAGAATTATGATGGGAAAAAAATGAAGTAAAAAGAGACTAAGAAAGAATGAACTCAGTTTTAAAAAGTGGAAATGATGAACTTTAATCTTTGAAAAATTTAAGAGAATAAAAAGAAAAAGATATCTTATTTTGGAAAGAAAGAGCTAAAAAAGCCGAAAAAACATAAACTATTGTACTTTCTTTGGAACATAGAATTAAATAGCTTGAATAAGAAAATGAAAGACTTGAAATGTTAGTTGTTAAAGAAAGTAATTAGAATAGATCTTATCCTAATTTTGCAAATTAATGATTTAATTTATTTTTTATAAAAAATGAATTTTATATTATTTTTACAATTATATATAAAAATATTATAGTTTTTTTATTGAAATTATACATTTTTTTTTTTAATAATAAAATAAAAGTTATTTTTTTTTTTTAAATTAAAGTTTATTTCTTCTTCTTTTTTTAAAAAAAAATAAAATCAAATCAAATGAAAATTAAAGTTTGTTTCTTCTTTCTTTTATATATATATATAATTTTTTTATTATTTTTTACTATAATTAATAAATAAAAAAAGAAATAATAATATAAATATATAATAATAACAAAAATTTAAATCAATTTTAATATAAATGTTTTATAAACTTTTAAATTATATAATAAATATACCCAAATTATTATTTTAAGAAAAAAAACTTAAAATAATTATAGTCAATAATGAGAATATATAATAAAAAATAAAAAATATTACGAAGATTAGATTTTTTTAAAATAAAATAAAATAAAACTGAGAAAGAAAGGAATAATAAATTTTTTATAAAAAAATAAAATAGAGTCATTAAATAAATATCTTTATATCAAAATAAAAATATATATAAATCCCAAAAACTACTCCTTAATATTTATAATTACTTAAATATAATATTATTTAATGATTTTCTTTTATTTAGAAACTTTTTTTGATAAATTCAAGTTAATATATATTAAATTTTCAATATTTATTTCGTGAAAATTTTATAAATAGCAATTATGAGCTATATTCTGTTTAAAAAAACGAATAAATATTTTTTTTTTTAATAATTATATAAATTAATAGCTAAAAAGTGATTATATAGAAAACAATTTGAATATAAAAATGATAAAAATATACAAATTTAAGTTTTATAAAAAAAGATATTTTTTTATTGTGAAAATAACAAAAAAAAATATTCTAAAAATAAATATAAATATTTTTTTAGGGTTTTTTTAAAAAACATAATTTTATTTAAAATTAATAAGGTTTTTTAAGAAACATAATTTTTATGAAAAATTGTATTTATAGGAAAATAATATAAATAAATATATATATATATATATAAATATATATATAAATATAATATATATTTTTATATTTTTTTTTCTTAAATTTATTTTTTATAAATTTTTATTTATATATTTTTTTTTTAAATTAGCAATTACTTTAGAAATTTTTGTATTATAAATATTTTTTTTTTATTTTATTTATTTAATTTTTTAATTAAATAATTTTTTATATTATTTATTATTATATAAAATTAAATATTTATTTATTTTTATGATAAAATTTTTTTTAATCAAAATTTTATAATGTAATTAACATTTATTTTATATAAAAACATATCATAAATACGAATTTTAATAACTATAAATTATTATAATATTTTTTATATTTTAGATAAATATTATAATTTTTATTAAATAATTATCATAATAATTATATTTTATTTTTAAATATTTGTCTGTTTAAGAATACTATATTATTTTTGTTTTTAGATATAATTATATATATATTTATTAACATTTTTGTATAATTCATTATTTTTCTAAAATAACATTAATAGAAAGTAAATTAAAATAACGTCATTTTAGACTTAAATTTAAAAATTTTAAATTATTTTAATTATTTCAAGAAATTGTAATGTCTATCTTTACATTAAAAAATAATTATATATAAATAATAAATAATTAAATAATAAAAGAAAAATTAACAACTATTTTATAGTAAATTTTATTTTTATAATAAAAACACTGAAAAATTATTCTAATAATATAGAATATATGATTCTTTTTGCTTAAAAATAAATATATGTAAAAAAAGAAAAAAAGAAAAATAAAAATATATTTTTAATATATAAATGAAAAAAAAAAAAAAAATATCAATATTAATTATTTATTTGTACTATACAAGTAAATAAAAAAGTAAGATTAAAAACTATATATATTAAAATAAAATTTATAATATAATTTAAATTATAATTAAAAATTCTATTAAATATAACACTTCTGCATTCTATTTAGTAATTTGTATTTTTTATTATTAAAATAATTTAAATTATATTTTTTAATATATTTTATTTTTATTTTCTAAATTTTTATCAAAAATAAAAAGGTCTTAATCTATTTTTTTTAACCCTTTTTTTTTAGATTTTTTATTAATAAAAAAAATAAATATTTATAAGTATTATATATTTAATAAATTAATAATAAAAATATTATATTTTATTTTACTTGTTTTTATAAACCCTATATTTAATTAACTGTATTTTTGATAAAATATAAATTAATAAAAAATTTCCATTTATTTTAATTATTAATTTAGGTTTTTTATTTATATTTGTATTCACACTTAATTTACTTGATATTCGATAAACTTAATAAATTCGGTTTTTATTAATAATTTTATTATATAAGTTTAAATAATAAGATAATATTTTCTTTTGAATATTAGAAAAATAGTAATTAAAAGAACTTATTAAATTTTTATACATTATAATATAATTTGAAATTTAGAATATTATAATTTAAATAACATAAAAATAAAATTTATTATAATATTTTTTCTTATAAAAATTTATTTTATTTTAATTTACGTTTTCTAAATGATATAATTTAATTTAATTTATAAATTAAAAAATGAATACTTAAAATTATTATTTAACTATTCTATTTACATATACTAAATTAGATAATAACAAAACATATAAAAAATTAGAAAAAAAGTATAAATATATATAAAAAAATTAATAATAATTAATAAAAATATATAATTATAAATTATATATATTAATAAATTAAATAAATATTTAAAAAAAAAAAAAAAAATATTTTATCAATAAAAAAACAATTATTTTATTAATAATAAAAAAAAAAAAAAAAAATAATAAAATTTTATTCATTACATAAAAAATAAAATAAAAAAAAATATAATCACTTAAAAAAAAAAAAAAAAAACGAAAAAAAATAATAAATGGAATTATTATCCAATTATCCCCCAGATAAATAAATAGAAAACTATGTATTTTCCCTAAACGCTTGTATAGGCAAAGGATCATCAGGCACCGTATATATAGGTCGACATACTCCCACAAGCCAAATAGTAGCAATAAAAGCAATAAACATGTCATCATTAAAAACTGATTATGCCTAAAAAATGTTATAATCGGAAATAAAAATAATGAAAAAATTAAACCATCCGCACGTAGTACGTTTATTAGACGTTTTTTAGACCAAAAATAATACATATATAATAACCGAATATTGTAATTAAAGTGATTTAAGATAATTATTAAAAAAAAAACGTTTTTTTACTAGAAAAAGAGTCTATAGTGATTATTTCTTAAATAATGAGTGGTTTATAAGAACTTGCAAATAATTAAATTATACATAGAGATTTAAAACCGGCTAATATATTGATGAATAATTAGATTTTTAAGATCACGGATTTCGGATTTGCTAAAAAATTAACGAATATAGAAGACTAATTAATGGAGTCTTTAGTAGGAACACCACTTTATATGTCACCACAAATTCTTAATAAGTAGTAGTATACATCCAAATGTGATGTATGGAGTTTAGGGTTAATTCTTTATGAACTTCTTTTTGGAAAAACACCTTGGTAAGCAACAAATTTGGTAGATTTAATATAAAAATTGTCAACTTAAGCATTATATTTTCCTCAAGAAATATCTATATCTAGTTAGATGTAAGCTTTTATTAAAAAATGCTTAATGTTATAAGAAAACGAGAGACTTTCGATTAATGAAATGTTTAAAAATATGCTGTTTGAAAGCTATAATGTTTAATTAGATAAATTAATACAAAAAAGAAAAAGCGATATAGAATAAATAATTTAAGAAAGAAAAAAAAATGTATAAGAGGAAAATTAAAATAGTCCAAAAAATAGATCAAAATCAATTTTATAAAAAGAATAAAAATATAACGATAAAGAGTATTTTAGATCAAAAACTCCAATTTATAATAGAAAAAAAGAAGGAGAAGAAATATCACATGTCTAATTAAATACAGAAGGAAGATGTTTATCATAAAATTAAATTAAAAATAGTGAATTTTAATAATAGCAAAAAAATATTGATAATATAAATAATTATTTATTTTATTTATAAAAATAATTAAATTAAAATGATTAAGAAATATAATAACAACAACAATAATAAATATAGTAATAACAATAATAATAATAAATATAATAATAATAATAATAATAATAATAATAATAATAATAATAATAATAATAATAATAATAGTAATAACCTTTCTTTTAATAAAAAAAGCATAATTTTTATTTTTTTGAGGATAAAATACTAAATAAATATAATAGTTTTAAATAAAATAATAATAATAATAAATTATCTCCACAAAAGCCTTCTTTTTAATTTTTACCAATTTAAAAAAAAGAACCATATGAAAAAGTCTTTGCTATTCTTTTAAATTTTACCAAAATTTTAAAAACTCTGAAAAATCTTGCTGATTAAAACATTAGGTATTTATTAAAATTCGAAAATGAATTTAAACTTGAAAAGCTTATTTTTTTAATAAATAATCATATGCTGATTATTATGACTAGTCTAAAAATATCTCAAATAGACTAAAATATAAATATATTGAATATTCCTAAATGGGAAGAATATAAAAAATAGACATTTTTTTAAGAAATATAGTAATAAGTTTAATAAATGTATTATAATGTTTTAAGTATTTATTAAAGTTTTATGAATAAATTACAAGAGAATAAAAATTACAAAGATGAAATTTAAAAAGATATTTATTTTGGTAAAATCGTTAGTTTTTAGAAAAATGATGATGTATATAATAAGATTTTTTATTTTTATAAGTTTTAGTTTTTGAAGGAGTTTATAAAAGAAGTTTATTTAAAAATACATATAAATGTTAACTTTTTTAAGGAAAATTTAGGGAAAGATGAAATTTTGGTTTTGAATTTTTTAAATAAATTAATTGATTATTATTTACTTTTGAAAAATATTCTTTAAAGTGATGATGATCTTAATTAAATTGTAAAAATTTTAATTTTAGATGGATTTTTTGATAAAATTGGAATTAATTTTGAAGATTTGAAAAAAAAATTTTCTCCTTTGGTTTAGTTATTTCTTTATGAAATAAAATATATTTTATTTATATTTTTTTAAAATTTTTATAAATAATTTATTAAAAAAAATATTTTTTATTTCAAAAATTAATTTATTTATTTTTAAATTAAACAAAACAAAACATGAATTACGCAATAGACGAAAATCCATAAAACATAATAATTCCATTAGAATTATCAAAAATAATATATTAAGAATATGAATGTGATTAATCAATAAATGATAAACCAAATCAAGTAATAAAATAAAAACAAAAACAAAAAATAAGACAAAACTAAAAATAAGATATATGGTAAATGCTTATAAGGACAATCAAAAATTTAATATAAAAATGGAAATTCATACATAGGGCAAATACAAAACGGCATGCTTCATGGTATTTTTTTTTTAAAAAAAAAAAACTCAGATAAAAACCAAAAAAATTAAATAAAAAGGAAATGGAATATTTAAATGGAAAAACAATATAAAATATGAAGGCACTTTCTATTATAATTCAATAACAGGGGAAGGTCGATATGACTGGCCAGACGGTTCCTATTATATAGGAGATGTAAAAGATGGTCTAAGATATGGTTAAGGGACATTTGTATCACCGGATGGTGATGCTATATATAAAGGAGAATGGGTAGAAGGTTTAAGACATGGATAAGGGGAAGTAAAATTTAAGTCCGGAGCATTATTTTAAGGTTAGTTTGTGAATGGATGTAAACATGGTTAAGGGAGAATGTAATATCCTTCAGGGAACTATTATTAAGGGGAGTTTAAATTCGATAAGAAGTGCGGATAAGGAGTTATGATGTGGATTACTACAAAGGAGAAATATTATGGGGAATGGGAAAATAATCTTTAGAATGGATTCGGGGTACATGTATGGCTAGAATAAAAAGGAGAAGGTAAACTAATGAGAAATAGATACGAAGGATAATGGGTAAATGGTTACAGATGCGGTTATGGTGTGTTTTATTATGCAAATGGGTCAAAATATGAAGGGGAATGGGTAAATAATTTAAAGGAAGGCTATGCTATTTTCACTGAGGATAATGGGAATGTAATATAGGGATATTATAAAGCGGATAAAATGATAAAAAATTAAGAAAATAAAAGTTAGACTTAGAATGAGAAAATAGAAAAATTAATTGAATCTCCTAGTAAGAAAAACAACTCAAAAAAAAGGGAAATAAACATGAAGAAACTGTTATTAATAATTAATCTTCGGGATCCAAAAAAAATGACATGGAAATGAATCCATATGTGTATTTAGTTGATTTTCATGATATTACTAAAGGGGTAGAGGAAAACCTATTATAAATACACTAGAATATATAAAATATGTTATTAAGACATAATAGTGTACTTAGAAGTATGTATAAACATTACTGTAATTTAACAGAAAATAATAAGATTGCTGAAGATTCGTTTGCTATGGATATGTTTAGTTTCTGGAAGTTTATTAAGGATGCTAGAGTGTTAGACTCTATGGTTAGTTTGGCATCTTTAAATAGAAACTTTTATTAAGGAATTAAAAATAAGTTTGTATAAAAATGTAATTAGAATATGTTATAGAAATAAATTGAAATTGCAAAACAAATAAATAAGTATATTTTTAATATAAAATAAAATGTATATTTATATATATATATATATATATATATAAATATAAATATATTTATATATATATATATATTTTTAGGTAATTAAATTAGGAAGAACTTGATAATATTCTTATTTTTAATTTAATAAAATAAAATGAACCAAAAAATAATAAAAAATTAAATTATGATGAGTAATTTATTATATTTTAGATTTTTTTTTTTTTTAACAAATAAATATTCATTTAGACTTGATAATGATGAGAGTAAATAATAAAAAGAATTATTTATATAAATAATTGATATCCATAATGGAGATAGAATAGTTTTATTTAGAAATTTCGTGGAGTTAATTGTAAGACTTGCTTATCTTAAATATTCAGATTTATATAATATACATAGATCATTAGAAAAACTTCTTTTGAATAAATTAGTTCCAACGTTTGAAGGAAAAAAATAAAACAATAGTAATTAATAAGCAACAATAATAGCAGGTGAAACAATAACAACAATTAAAAGCCTGAGTAATTTAGATGAAAATAATGAAGTAATTAATATACTATATTTATATATATATATATTATTTATAATTTTAAATATATATTAATTATAGCAAATCATAAATAAGAAATAAATACTTTTATAAAATTATAAAGAATTATTTAAAAGAGTATTTAATTATTTAAAAACTACACATAAAAATGCTTTATTTGGTATTTAAGACGAAACTGTTATTTTCAAAGATTTATTAAAATTTTTTATAGAATAATAAATCATTTAAGGAGAAATTGATAAAAGAATTTTAGTTTAAGCTTTTGAGAGAAACTTTGATTTTTAAAGTACTCTATAATATGTAGATTAATTATAAAAAGATAAAGAAAAAGAAAAAAACTAATAAAATAAAGATAAAGACAAAAAAAAAAAAGTAACGAAAACTTCTGTTTTTAATCCTTTAACATAGAGTTAAAATTTAAATGAAAAATATGAATATATGAAAAGTTAAAGGCTAACCCTTATTTACGAATCTGAACTTATATTATAAGAATTTAAAGAAATTATTATATTTTATTTACTTAAAAAAGTCTTTTATATATATATATATTATTTTAAATTTTTTATTTTAAAAAGGATAAAGATATTCTCTTGGCAAAAGATGAGTAAGATTTAATTAAAAAATCCAAAAAATATTTCGATTAAATTGATATTAATAAAAAACATCATGATACAAATTTTAATGATTAAAATATTTAAAAAGATCAAAAAATTTGGCCTTTTAGTATAAAAGATAAATTGTAAAAAAAAATATTAAATTTAAATATCTTTATATGTATATAAAAATATAAAAAAAACTAAACTAAAAAAAAAAAAAAAAGAAAAGAAGAATTAGCAATTGAAAGAAAAAGAAAAGAAGAGGGAGAAAAATTAAAAAAATTCAAAGAAGAAGAAAGAAAAAAAGAGTCTTGTTTTAAAAAAATATATAATTATATAAAAATATGCATATATATATATTATTAATTATATCAATAATTTAAATTTCTATCATATATAGAGCTAGAGAAAGAGCCTTAATGGGACTTGAAGATTAAAATATAGAATCAGATTACAATGAAGATGATGATGATGATGATGATTTTTAAGTTTAGAATTAATTTGATGATGATTATTGAAAATAAAATTATAATAATAATAAACTAGAAAATTATAAATATTATATAATAATATAAATATAAATACAATATAAAATAATTAAAATAAAAATTAAAAAATCTTTATACTAATAAAAAATAAAAATGAGAATCTAATTTATTTTTGAAAATTTCACATTTTAAAACGAAAATAAATTTGTTCTTTTTATTCCTTATTCAATTTAAACATTTGCTAATTTATCTTAATACATTTCTGATTATTTTAATATCTAAAATAAAACAATTTCTTTTTTAATATAGGATTTTCATATATTAGATAAAGAAAATGTACATTAATTAATAAATGAAAAAGACATTCTTATAGTGAAAATAGATAATTAAGAAAAAGATAAAAAATTAAATGAACTAAATTTGAATATTAAAAGAAAAATCCCTGAATTAATATAACCGTAAATTGAAAAAAAAATACAAGATAATGAAAAAAAACCCATAATTTAAAATAATAAAACAAAACCTTTAATTAAACCATTATAAAATAATTTTATTAATAAAAAAAATATTTCTTCGGATTCTTCAGAAGATTCGTCTGATGAATCTTCTGATGATTCTTCTGATTCAGAAATAATAAAAAAGAAGGTTTTAATATATATATATATATATATATAATATATATATATATATATATATATATATATATATATTTATAATAATTTTTATTTACATAGAACTTTAAATAATTACCTGTTTAAAAATTACCTTAATATTAATAGAAAGGAAATTAAAACGAATAAGAAAAAGGAATTCATTAATAAAAATAAAATATTAATATAAAGAATCAATAAAAATGCATAAAAAATTAATAAAATTCTTAATTAAAATAAGCTTAAATAATTCCTGAAAAATAAAATATTTCTAAAAATTATCAAAATTATAAAAATTAGAATGAAAAATAATAAAAAAATTTAAATGAAAATTAATAAAAAATTTAAAATGAAAATTAACAAAATATTTAAGATGAAAATAAAGAAAAAAACTTTAATAGTATTATTTAAAAAGAAAATTAATAATAAAACATATAAAAAAAAACTCCATTTTACTAAGAAGAAATATAAAAATCAAGAATTTAATTATCTTCAGAAATTAAAAGTAATATAATTAGTGAAGAAAATAAAGAACAATGTCCTTTAGACATTAAAGAATATGAAAAAATTAAAATAAAAGATTTATAAGATTATTAAAAGTCTTTAAGTAAAAATTTCTTTAACTAAAATGATGAGATATATTTCAAATTGGATAAAAAAGATTGGAAAAAAGGGAAGATTATTGAAATTTTAAATGAAAATTCGATAAAAATATTAGTATAATTAAATGAAGAAAATGAAGAAATGTAAACAATAAATACTTATCATATATAAGATCTATATTTAAAAAATTAAAAAAACTAATAAGATATTTAATAATAATAAGAATAATAATAATAATTATAAGTAAACCCTATTAATAATTCTAAAGTAAAATAAGAATAAAAAAATAAATTTTAATAAGATAAAGATATTTTAGTTGGAAGATAAGTATAATTAATTAATATTCATATATTTTGTATATATATAATTTTTTTTTTAAGATTAATTATTATTTTGGTGATAAAAATTATTTTTAGGATTCTTATTTAAAATAACATTGTGATAAAAATGAATAAAAATGTAAAAAAAACCTTTTTTATCTTTTTTATATTTTTAATTTTTTTTTAGATATTTCGTTAAATGTTTTGTTAAATTTTCCAAGAATAAAAAAATTAGTAAGCAATGAAGATGAATTGAGAGAAATTATTAAAAACTTTACAAAAAAAACAATTTAAACTGTTAATTATGAATTAAGTTAAGATGAAAATATGATTAGAAAAATAAACCTTATTGAATAATAATAGTAATAAAATTAAAATATAGATTAATAAATAGAATAAGGAGAAATTTGATTAAGAATAAAAATAATAATATATATATATATCTAATAAAAATATATATATATATATATAGATATAAATGTATTTAATTATTTTATTTTATTTTTTTAAAAAAAAATCATAATACATTTTTTTTTTTTTTTTAATAATAAAAACATTAAAAATTAAAATTTTAATAGAAAAATTTATATTAACAACTATTTTTATATTTGCAATAAAAAAAATGCATAAAAATTATTCGCTACTTCAGCATTCAAATTAAAACAGAATATAAACATCAATTTAAATAAACTAAACATGTCAAGAAGTTAGAAAAAATATAAATCAATTACAAGATTTAGCTATATCAATATAAAAAGCAATATAAACAGACGATTATAGTGAAATGGAAAATATAATAAAATAAATTGAAGAACCTTAAAAAAAGACTAATTATTTAATACCAAGTTAATAATAAACTTAATAATCTTATATAAAATAAAATTTAGATATAGAATTATGTTAAAATAAATACTAATAATAATAAATGGAAAAAATTGAAAATAAAAATAATAGTAATTATGGGTTAATTTAAAATAAAAAAAGAAAAATCTAGAATAACAAGAAATAAATCAAAGAACCGAATTCAATAATTATTTAGACGAAATGAAAGTAAGTATTGATAAAAGTATGAAAGAAATTTCCAATGTAAAGTATTATGTAGATAAATAAAATATAGAAAACGAATCACAAGTTAATCATAAAAAATCTTATCATAAAGATAAAGCATAAGAGGAAATCGAATAAGCCTAAAGGAAAATACATGAAATTCAAAATTAAAGACTAGTGTAGAAAATACAGTCAGTTTATAAAGAATTACAAGATAAAGAAATGGATATATAAAAGAGGATATAAAAAGAAAATATCATATAAGAAAAGATACAATCAGCCATTAGTGTAGGATTTTATTAATATCAAACGGATTTATAATAAGCTAAATTAAATGATGAGAAATTACATACATTTTATATATATATGAATTCAATAATAATATGTGAAGTATATATATATATATATATATATATATATATATATATATTACTATATATATAAATATATAAAATCAGAATATGGATAGTAAAGAATGTCTATATGAATTTAAAATTTAGGAAATATTTAAAGTAAATTATAAAGATAAATTAATAATTGAGATAATTTTTAATGATTAGACTTTATTAAGAATTTTCTTTACTAGTTTGAACGAATAAAATAAATTCGATATAATACTTAATATGTTATGTTTAAACAATTAATTTTATAATAACAATATTGATAACTAAACAAAGTTTTTTGATACTACATGGAATTAATGTTTACCTTTTCCTTTAAATTTATAAGACTAAGAAAACTTAAGTAAAACTTTTATGAATGAACTTAAATATAAATCAGAAAAATTTTAAAATATAACAAATATTTTACAATAATCCAAAAACAAAGACAATCAAGAAGAAATTAATATGTCCTAATAATAAAATAATTATAAATGTAATAAAAAAAAAGTAAAAATACTAATAAAAAAATTTTTAAAAATATCTATTTTTTTTAAATATAAATAGAAAAATCTATATCCCCAAATAAAACTGTTTTTATAAAACCTGAAGATCCTGAAAATATTAAAATTGCAAAAGCAACCACAAATTTAAAAATGGGACGGGTTTTCATGAAATATAGTAAAAACGGAATCAAACCGCATGAAAGGTTATTCTTTTTATCTTAAGATGACTAAAAATTATTATGGAAAGACCCTACAAAAAATAAGACCAAAGGAATAATGATTTTTGATATTTTAAATATAGTACCAGGTAGGGATGGACCTGGATTTAAAAAACATGATAAAAAACCTTAATATTAGGGGACTGAAGATGTAAGTGTTGTCATTTAATTAAAAAATAATAAATTTATTGAACTTGCGGCTATTAGTAAGTAAATTAGAGACACTTTTATTGATGAGTTAAATGCTATTAAGGATTGTAAGATTTAACTTTAATATGAATAAAATAATTTTGAGGAGTGAAATAATATTTAATTTGCAATTTACTTATATTTTAACAAAAAATTATATATTAAATATTTATGATTTAATAATAAAAAAAAAACTTTTTTTTTTTAATAAACAATATGAAACAAAACAAAAAAACAATAATGATTTTTAAATATTTATTTTTTTAAGAAATTTAAGTTTTTTAAAATAAAATAAAAATATCTTATAAAAATAAAAAAGTTATAATTTATAAATAAAAAAATAATATATTAATTATATGTATAAATATATATATTAATTATAGATATATAATAAATATATATATATATATATATATATATATATTATAATTAATTATTAAAAATAATTAATATATATTTGTTATTTAATAATAATAAATATATAATTAAAATAAATAAGTACCAAAATTAACTTAATAATTAAAAACCAACAACAAAAATATATTAAAAATTTACAAAATAAAATCAAACAAAACAATATATTAATTTAAAAAAAAAAAAATCTTTTTTTTTTTTTCAAAAAGCCGCTAAAAATAAAGAAAAACATAAACCAAATCTAATAATTTCCCCGAAATTAGAATTATTTTAAATACTATCACTATTAGCCTAATTTACATTTTTTTTCCCTCCGTTTTTTCCATAAATTACACTCTCAAAATTTTTAGTAACCGGTGATTTGCCTTCACTATCACTTAAATTTCTTAATTTTCCTTCAGGTCCTTAAATGAATAATTTAACTTGAATTTTAGCATCAACAGATGGTTCTATTAACTCTATTTTGAGTATAATGTTCCCCGGTTTACTATTAACTACAGTAGTAATTTAAGTAAAATCCAAAACAATTCCTTCTCCCATAAAAGTGACTCTTTGGAGTATTAAATTTTTCTAATAAGTTTAATCTATAAGCCATATATTAACATACATATTATCTCCAACCTTATATTCATTTGAAGTTTTTTCCTCTACACAGGTTTCATCTGTACAGACTTTACTTGAAGTGGATAAATCAACTACAATAACACATTCATCACCAATATTACATTTATCTGTTATTTATTTCGATACATCTAGTACAAATGTACTTACACTTAGTCTATTTGTATATACAGTCATAGTAAATCTATGTTATCTGACTACTTTTCTTGTATTTCCCATATTTATGGCCATATACATAACCTAAAATATGGTATTACTCATTGCTTCGACTTAGTTTTCGATAGAAAGGTTATATACGTCAATTAGAGGAATTCTTATATTAAGTCCAGTATTTGTATTTTCTAGTGTTTAAACATACTCAGGTTTTATTGCAGATAGAGATTAATATTAACCGTTTTCAGTTAGTTTTATTAAAACTTCAGTTTTTAAATATTATGTACATTCTTTAGGAATATAAGACATATTGAAATCAAAGTTTAAATTATTGACAATGAAATTTTTATTATCAACTTATTCAGTAAAACAATCAGATTATACTATTACTGTAGTTATCTATTCATATAACTCTAATTCACATTAAGGAATTTCTTAAGCTTTTTATTCGTCAAGTTCTAAGCATTTAAATTCTTCGGTAAATTTAGACTATATAAAACCTTCCACACAATAACAAAATCTCTCCCTTTCCATAAATGAAAATTTGTCTTTACAACTTGTACATATGTTAGGGTAGCTTTGGTTCTCACAATTACAACTTCGGTGGCATTTTTATGTGGAATATACCTAAGCAAATAAAAGGAAAGATATTAATAATAATATGGTTAATTTATTCATTATTTTTTGTTTTTGGGTTTTTTATTTTTATTTTTTTTAATTGTATATAATTCGGTTTTTTTTTGTTTCTTTAAAAAACACTCTTTATGTTTTTTTAAAATAACTACTATGTTGGATTTTAAACAAAATAATATTTTTTTCTTTAGTTTATTTTGTGTTTTGTGAAATAACGAAAAACTATAAAATAACGGAATATATAAGATTATTAATATTATTCTTATAATTATTTATTTTTTAAAAATAGATAAAAAGATTCTCAATATACTGTTTATTATAATAAATTAAAATAAAAAAATATTATAATTTATCCCTGAATTGAAATAATATTTTTAAATATTAAAAATTAATTTTTTTTTCATTTTATATTTTATTTTATTTTAAAAAAAAACATTGATTTATATAATCTAAAATTAATTTTTTTATTATATATTGAAAATAAAATACTATATAAAAAATAACTAATATGAAAATTATATCAAATAAATATTTAAAATATAAAAATTATCAATTTCTTTTTAAAATATAGTATGAAATTTTATTAATTTATAAAGAAAATATTTTATTTTTTTTAAATATAAACAATAAATAATATGTTATTTTTTTAAAAAAAATATAAATAATACAATTTAATTTTATTTGAATATATATTTATTGTAGTCTATTATTAATAATAATAAAAATCAAAAATAAAATTAAATATTATTTTTATTTAATATAATATAATAAAAAATTTAATATGTTATATAAATATATAAAAATTATTAAATATATAGTATTCATTAAATATAAATATAATTAATGTGAAAAACAAAATGTGAATTTTCCCCTTTATTTAATTTTTTTATATATTCTAATATATTTAGATATATTATTGTAAACCCTCTTTACAATAATATTGATGGTTTTTTAATCAAAAGATGATGAATTAGCGGGATATAATTTATGATTAATTTTTAGCACTAAATTATATTAATTTAAACCATAATTTTATGCTTTAAAGCTTATTTAATATATGCTATTATATAATATAAGTTTATTTTATATTAGTCTAAATTTTGGTTATTATTATATTTTATAAATAGGGACGATTTTTTTATACTTAATATTAAGTTTCTTTTATATTTAATAAATGAGAAAAAAACACAAACAAATTATATTTATTTTTTAGAATAGGATTTTTGTTTTTGGTGAAAGAAGTGCTTTTATTTTAGTTTTTATAAAAAAAAAGAAATTGGCTTTTTTAGGTGATTAAGTGTTTAAATATATTTATTAAACTTTCAATTTATCATATTTAATATTCTTAAAAAGCTATATTATTATAATTTCTATGGATTGAGTATCTAGTTTGTTTTTTGGTTTGTTTTTGAAGTTTTGATGTTCATTATTTTTATGAGTTTGATTATTATTTTTGACAAGATTATTTAAGATTTTGTTTTATATATTGAAGTAGGTTTTCAATTAAATTAAATAGAGTAATTAGAATCGAATTGTATATTAAAATTTAAGTAATTGTATAAATATAATAGAATATTATTAAAAAATTGTTTATTTTTATTGATTTATATATTAATATAGTATTTTTATAATTTATATTAAAAACAATTAAAATATTTAATTATATATATTTTTATTTAAACTTGTAAATAAAAAATATTAATGATATATATTAAACCTATAATTTTAATATTAAAATACTTAATTAATTATATTTAATAAAAAGAAATAAGTTTTTATTTTACTTTTAAATACATAATAAAATTCAAAATATATTAAAAATTAGATTTATATAAACCTAATTTTATTATATGATAAAAAAGTTTCCTTTATTAAAAAATAAATTTTAAAATAAATTATATTTTACATTTTATTATTATTTTTTCTGTTTATTTTTAATAAATAGTTAAATTAAATAAATAAATAAATAGCTTTATATACAATTTTATATTTTATAATTCTTCTTTTTTTTATTTTTCGGTTTTAATAAATTTTATCCATTAAAACATGCTCTAAATAAAATTATAAAAATATTTTTTTTTAAATTAATCAAATTAGTTTATTTATAAAAACTTCTTATTTACATATATAGTATGAAATTACTCATTTATACCTTCAAAAAAAATATATTATGTTACTATTAATATTTAAAAATAAAAAAGTAAAATTATATTTAAATTAATTTTTATTTATATTGATATATTAAATATTTTTAAATTAAGAACTTTTTAACAAATTTATATAAAAAAAATATTAAACATTTTTAATTAAAATAAAGCATTTATAATAAAATATTTGGAAAATTAAATATATGAAAAAACAAATATTTAGCTTGTGTTTATTTTTAATAAAATTTACTTATATTTTATTAATATTTTTTTTTATTATTGACATTTTTTTTTAAATAATGGCCTTTTTAATATCAAGATTAAGTTAATAAATTATATTTTTATTTTATTTAACTTTTATAGATAATTTCTATTTTATTTAAATAAAAAATAATGAAATATGAGTCGAAATTCATTATTTTATTTTAAAAATAATTTAATATAAAATTAATAATTGTCTATTATTTACAATATATAATGATTATATTTAAAAAATAATATAATTTATTTGTTAAATCTCTATTTTTTTAAGAGAGATTTATATATATTTAAATAAATATATGGAATTCTGATTATATATAAATATAATATAAAAGAAATATGTATAAGTTTATTAAAACCATCCGTAATACCAGAAGAGATAATTAATAATAATTGGTTTTCTAAATAAAAAACGAACCTAAAATACTAAAGTAAAAGATAAAAAAGATTAAATATTGTCTTTAAAAACTAGTTTTCATATTTAGTTTTAATTAATATTTCTTTTTGGTACAATATTATAAAAAAAAAACTTATATTTATATTTTAATAATGTATTTTCAAGTTAAATATGTTTTTATTATTTAAATATTATATCTCTCTCCTATATATTATTTATATTAAGGAATTTAACAATTTTTTATTTAATATTTATAATAATCAAATAATGATGTTTGTATAAATAAAATTATATAATATGTTAAGTTTGATTAATATTTAGTTTAGAGTTTTTATTACTAAAAAATAGGCTTTATATAAATATTTATATATATAATTAAGTTAATTTACTAATTATTAGGGAAATCATAAATAATATTTTAAGGTAGTATATATATATTTACTCCAAAAAATAAATAAATGGAAAGTCAATTTTATATTAATAAATAAACATCATATATTTTTAATATTTTTATATACTAAATAAGAGTTACTATATATATTTCTAATTTGATTCAATATATATATTGAAAACAATAGAGTCTAATTTTAACAATAATTTTACTTGTAATTATTTCAATATATTTTAATTTTTTGAGAACCGAAAGTGGCTTTTTATATATGTTATTACTATTTAAATTGTAAAAAACTAATTTATTTGTGTAACTTTTATATATGATATTCAAAAAATAAAATAAAATAAAATAAATATATAAAATTTAAATTTTATGAGTAAAATCTCCTTTTATATTTCGTTAAGCTGGAAAAAAATAAAAACAATATATAAATATAAATATATATATATATA